CCCGTGATTATTTTTATACAATAGGGATTAGTTAGCTACAGTTATAGTGATAACTAGTAGTAGTGATTACAGAGTGCATAACTAACCACCCCCAAATTTAGTGGCTTAAAATAACAACTATGCGTTTAGCTCATGCTCCTATGTGTTGACAATTTGGGCTGGTCTCAGCTGGGTAGTTCTAATGCTGTTCTTGGCTAGACTCACTCTTGAATCTTTGCTGAGCTGGTGGGTCATCTGGGGCTGGCCAGTTTATGGTGGCCTCATCTGGGATGACTGGGACTTCTCTCCTCCAACAGGGAGCCCAGGATTATTCACCTTTTTAAGTCTCTGCTTGTACAGTGTTTGTCATTGTCCCATTGGCCAAAGCAAGTCTCAAGGCCAGCGCAGATTCAGGAGTGAAGAAAGATTGTACCTCTTTTGGGAGGAGACACAAAGTCAACTGCAAGAGTGTGCATATAGCCAGGGGAAGGAATTGAGGCCATTTTTCCAATCTACCACAAAGAGCCTTTTCCAATACTTTGATTGACCTATGTTTGCTTCTTGTCTTTGTGTCCTTTATGTTTATTTCTTCCCTCCCTCTCTTTCTCCTTCTCTCCCTCTCTTCTGCAACTATTTACTAAGCACCTAATATATTCCACGTACAGGGAATATAGCAATAAATAAGATTTGATTACAGTTGTCGTAAATGTCTTGTGGGCCGGTCCCATGGCTTGGCAGTTGGGTGCGCGCGCTCCGCTACTGGCGGCCCGGGTTCAGATCCCGGGCGCACACCTGGAGGGACGTGCAACTATGACATACAACTATCTACTAGGGCTTTGGGGGAAAAAAAAGGAGGAGGATTGGCAATAGATGTTAGCTCAGAGCCGGTCTTCCTCAGCAAAAAGAGGAGGATTAGCATGGATGTTAGCTCAGGGCTGATCTTCCTCACAAACATAAATAAATAAATAAATAAATAAATAAATAAATAAATAAATAAATAAATAAATGTCTTGTAAAGGACCTCACTGTCTAAAATGCCACTATATTCAAAAGAGCTTTTTTTCCTCTCCTTTTACCAGCTCTACTACACCCTGTATTAAATGCTAAAGCTGGCTAGCATTTTAGTAAATAACAATGAGAGATAATGCTTTCCTCTAATTGCTTAAAATGATAGTGTTTCTAAGGAAGGGTTTCCAGCTGTTTTGTCTCATTTAATCAAGAACTCAACCTTATTATCTCAGGATTTTGCTCCTATCCATTTGCAATTCTCTTTACAAAACACAAATGACTGTGACATTTGGCTTGTGGGATGAACAGGAGCCTGTGCCTTGCACAGCATCCTAGTTGGCACAGAAGGGGTTGGGAATGACCTGGATTAGAGGCTTCTCCTTTTCATTTGTGCTCATGTGTGTTTCCAATTACTTCTGCTAGCATGGGAGTGAGAAAATTACTCTGGAATTCAGAGCGCAGTGATCTCAAAATGCACAAGCTTAACTGGCAACAGAAATGGCCTCAGGAGGTGTGTGAGACCCTGAATTAGAGCCTCATCCTGCTTCAACTTTTTCCTTAGGCGATGGAGCTCAACCTCGGTGGCACACAGAAACACCTGGGGAGCTTTTAAACCAGGTTCATGCCCAGCACGCTGAAGACCAAATTACACCAGAATCTAGGGAGTGGGATCTGGGCATGGACATGTTTTGAAGCTCCCCTGGTGATTCCAAAGTTCATTCAAGCTTGAGAACAACTGCCTTGAGGAGACGCATAGAACATTACAGCACAAGGGAATGTCTTTTGATTTTGAAATCGATGAAAATTAAGTCCAGAGAGGTCAAAGATTGTCAAAAGGCCAGGTAAGGGGGAAGGCAGGACTCAAACCCAGGTTTTCTAAGTCCAAAGTCTGTGCTTTTCATGCCTTATAAGATCTGGAAAGCCCTGAGTCACTATTAAGCGATGGCAGGAATCAAATGGAATGAAACGAAACAAAAAGAACATTTTATTGATATAAATACATAGTGAGAAAGAAAACTAGGCAATGAGAGCATAAATTGCATCATTGTGACCTTTTGGGAATAAACTTTTGGGAGAAGTAAATATCCTTGTAGTTATTTATCCTAAACTGTAAATTCGTTAACAATTACCTTTGAACACTAAAATGTCTGCTAATTAAAAGTGAATCATCTCAGTGTCTGATTTAGAAATTGGAACAAAGACTGGAAGCAGAGCTATTTCAGGCAATTTGGGCTAAAAGCTAATGCTCTAATAGGATGTTGACAATGATCTTTCTGATATCATTTTAACTGATATTATCAGGCTGTTGTCCTTTCTTGAAGTTGGATCTAGGGGCCCATCTCCGTGTTGGCCACACACGGTGTGCCAGGACAAGTGCTGGGCAGTGTGGGGACCGACAAAGATGGATAAAGTCCAGTTCCAACCAGTACAAATTGGGCTCCAAGAGAGGAGCACTGGCACAGAGGGGATGGGAAGGGTGTTTGCAAGAGGGAACAGAAGAAGTGGTCCAGGAGAGGTGGATCCTCTTAGATCAAGTACCAAAGAAGGTAGTGGCAGAATTGGTCCTGGGGACAGGGATGCACAGGCAGAACTTGATGCAGAGGATTTGATAGGGAAAGGGGGTCTGAATGACAGTGTTACCACAAGCGATGTGAACAAACTAGGAAAACACGTAGGTGTGGTATGTGTGATCCAACAATTATGATATTATCTCTGACTTTCAGTTGTCCTTCCTAAGCTTTCTGGCTGCTGATTTTATTTCTGGCAACCATACAAAACCAAAAGACCAAAGGGATTATAAACAAATGGGCCAAACTATCTCAAGGCCTTTGGAATTTGCATCTTTTTTGACTAATGTAAGCAGAGACATCTGTCTTTAGGAATCATATCCTCCCTTGGTTTCCAGGGCACTGTGCCCTCTGGATCTCCTCTATCTCTGACTGTCTCTTTGGCTCCACACCCTCCTTCAGCAGGCTTTCTCTGATTTCTGGCTTCAGCTTCTGTCCTTGGGCCAAAGATTCCCAAACTTCCCACCTTGAGATGCCTCAGCCTGCTTTCGGCTGGTATGCCCAGCTGCCTTCAGATCTATTCACTGGGATTTCTCTCTTGGATGTCATCTCAAGCTGAATGTTAAAGAGAAACTCATATCCTCTCTTTACATCCCCTCCCTGAAACAGCATTCCTTTCCAACTTGTCTACTGCTTTCCCAGCACCATCAGCTTCCTTATTCCCACCTTGGAGTTACATAACTAACAGATGCCTCTCTTTCGCTCCCAAGTCAGCCGCCAACAAATCCCAGGGATTCTTCTCCTGTAGAAGGTTCGGCTCTTTTCTTTTCTACAGCCACCACCAAGACTAGGCACCTAACACTCCCTTCTGTATCAGTATCAAGGCCTCCCCTCCATGGTTTCTCTGCCCTGCTGTCCACTCTGCAGAGCCCTGCTTCTGATAATTCAATGCTACCAACCTCATAAAGAACCTAGAATGGTTTCTTAAAGGACAAATTCCAAGTTTGGGTGTAAAGTCGTGTGTTAACTTGTTCAATTTTATCTGTTTTGTTTTCATATTCATTGAATAAATATGTACTTTATTTATATAACTATTAAATTAATATGCTCTAGCCCCCTACCGTGTGCCAGGGAGGGATACATAAAAATGAACAGAATATTGGTTTTGCCATTTTCTGAAAAGCATATAGGCCAGTGGTGGAATATAAGCACTTATGATGGTTTAATTAGGATTCCATGGGAAAAGTGCTACATTGGAGGAAAATCAAGATACCATGAAGGTCTTGGGGAGACTGTGGGCAGGAAAGATGGTACAGATGATAAAAATATGCAGCAGTGCATTGAAGGATAAGTGACTGTTGGCAAAGTACTTGGTAGTTTGGCCTTTGCCTTTAGCAAGAGACACTCTCCTTTTACCAGCTCCTGTGACTCACTCTCAGTTGCCCTCCATCCTCACCCAGCCTCTTTAAGGGCTCCCCAGGTCTTTGCTAATTCATATTTTGCTTTCTTCCAAGTCCATTTCAAGACAAATTTCCCCCTAGCCCTTCCTGGCTCTATCTTCATCCTTTTTCTCTTCTCCTTTCAGTACTGCACAATATCTTTTCTTAACGGGAACATTGGCACCACCCTCTAGGACTAAGGTTCTCAAATATTTATTTGAATCATCCTCAAATGTGATTCAGTAGGTTCAGCTTGGGACCTAGGAATCTGCTTTTTGACAGGTTCACAGGTGGTGCAGGCTCAAGAGAATCCTGAGCCACTTTGAGAAACTCCGTTTTAGACCTCTGTGGCTTCCTTCTATTTTTCCAGACAGGCTGTCCACAGCTCATAGTGCCTAGCAAAGTTTGTGCGTTGCTGAATGCTCTAGGTTCCAAGTGTCTGCTCAGCTCGGAGACAATATTAGATACATCAATTATTAATAACACTCAGAGAGTCAAGAAAAGTGGCTCAGCCAAGTGCACAGAACCGCGCTCTCTGGAGGAGCCTGACTCCTGAGGCGTAAAATGTCTCTGAAAGTCACCAGTAGAGCAAGAGGAAATTACACTTTCTGTCCTCTCAAAAAAAGCGCAGCCATCACTCCAAATGACCTCAATGCGTCCCCAAATAAATCATGCTTTCAGAGAATACAGAACGCACTGCGAGTTCAATAGCTTACAATAAAAGAAAGCCTATGGGGACTTAATGCACTCAAAGCAATCATGCTCACCCTAACAAACATCATAAAATGACGCAATGTAAGAAACAAATATTGCTAATGCACCTCGAATAAGGATTAATGGAGATGCATATGACTCAGACCACTAGAGTTTGACAATAAGACGAAGCCCGAAGCTATTCTACGCCACTGCTCCCCCCAAACCCCCACCCGCCCTGCTGCCCCGTCCCTCCTCCCACCCCAGCCCCTACGCAGTCGGCTCCTGGGCGGAGCTTGGCCGCAGGTGGGGCGGGGCCCGGGCCTCGGCGGCGTGATGACGTCAGGGCGTGTGGACGCCCAAGGCGTCGTCCGGCGCGGAGAAGGGCCGGTGGTGGCCGCTGTCGCTGGCTTCGTTGTGTGGGACCCGGGGTCCGCGTCCGCTCCCCGCGCCCTCCGAGCTCCGCCCCGTCAGGGCCTCCGCGGCCCGGCGCCGGCCCGTCATGGAGCCGTCGGCGCGCCCTGCGCGGCCCCGCTGAGCCTCGGTGCGGCGGCGAGCGCGGCTCGGGGTCACCATGCCTACCCGTGAGTGGCCGGCCGAGGGTCGGGCCGGGCGGGGGTCGTTGAGAGGCGGCGGCTTGCTGGGCGCGCCCTCCGGGCTCGTCCGCCGGGGCGGCGGGGAAGCGGGCTGGGCTGGGGAGAGCCAGGAAGTGCCCGCGGCTGGCCGAGTTAGTTTCGTTTCGGCTTGGCTTTCCGGGGGCGGGGAGTGGCGTGAGCCCGTTGCACAGACGGGGAAACTGAGGCCCGAGCGTTGAGGACGCGCGACTAGGAAGTGGCAGAGGTGGTGGTGACCTAGATCTGTGGGACTTAAAAGTCCGAGCTCTTTCCCCAGCCCTCCACGGAGCACAGTGGGACCTGATGGAAATGCTGACAATAACTGCGGTCCCATGGCCATTGCCTTCTCACCTCCTCGGGGACAGGCATCGCCTGGCGGGACGCGCCGGCCCAGGGGGTCTGGACCTGGGCCGGGAGACCGTCCCTGCGGCACCCAGAGTCCCAGCAGCCTTGACTTTCTCCCCTTCTGTAACACATCCGGGATGGTTGAAGTAGGTGCTCTTTTGGGAACTTTTAGGCTTATATGCTCCGAAGTGTGGCTGTTGGAGCATCTCCTTCCGATTCACCTGGCAGCTGATTAAAAATGCCGATTTACGGCTCCTTCCTAGATACACTGAGTAAGATTCCGGAGCTTGGGCCCTGGAATCTGCATGTTTGATAAGTGTCCCGGGTGTTACTGAGGGACCCTGAAGTTTGAAAATCACTGGATTTTGGAGGCATTTTGGACAAACCAGACACTACAGTACTACTAATGACGCATTTTAAAACGACCCAGGGAATCGCAATGTGACTTGAAACCCAGTGGCCCATATGGATGTGTGCTAGGGAAGCTGCTCGTCTTGGCCGGAGAGGAAGCATAATGATGATTGATTTGAGATTCTTTTCAAGTGGGGCTCTTTTGAGCAAGTGTTCCATACTGTAGAATCGTTCAGCATTTGTCACTGTGTTCCCAGTTAGCTCATAATTTCTTAGAATTCATAACTCCTCCTAACTGTCGTTATTTTGGTAGACACATGGGATACTGGATTTTCAGGTCAGCCTCAGATGCATGTTTTGTCCAGAGGTGGGTTAAGAGGAATTATGTCCTGATATTAGAAAGTTTTATGTAATGCTCTGGCAAATCTTTAAATAATTTTGATGTGAAGATTACTTTTAACTGCTCACTAATGTGTGGGTAAGGTGGATTTTGTTTTCTTAACACAATATTGTGTGTCCTTAACTCATGGTCTTGGATTTTGTATCCAGTAAATATGTCAGCTTATATGTTAATTTTATTCCCCTAGACTGGAGGAATATTATCATTATTGTCAGTTTATTATTTCTAAATTCATGTTCATGTGACTGTTTGAGATTAGCACTGTGCTAATCTTTTACTTTCTGAAAACGAAGGGGAAGGGATAAACGCCTATTCTTAAGTTAAGGCTTCAAGTGGAATTTATTGGTAAAATGGCAGTATAAATATCCTGTGAAATTAAACAAATTTTTAGCTATATTCTAAGGTTATCTAGCTTCATAGAGTGGATATAGAAAATTTGTTTCTTTTAAAATGTATGATTTACGATGCAAAATGACATAAGGATGAACAGTGTTGTAATTTGCATAGTTAAGAATGCAGATTTCATGACCTGACTGGAAGGCAAGTGAAATGTTTGAGTTATCTATCATTATTGTTGTTAATATTTATTATGGTTGGGTTTCTGTGATTGCATAAAAGTGTAGTACCAATTGGTGGTACCCATGTGAAGCCAGTGGTGTTCATACTGCCTTCTCTCTCCTTTTGTGGCCAGAACCACCAAAATTGCTGGGCTAGTGCAGTGGACAGTAGCCCTTCTCAGAAATTCTGTGTGTAAATTTCCAGCATGTTAAGTACAGAAGCAGAGACAGCAAAATTATTACTTTTTTAGGGATGTTTTTAGGAAGAAAACCCTCTCCAAATAAACTAATCTCTTTTTTTTTTAATGTCAGATGAGTTAAGAGGCTCATTTACAAGCTCAGCCAGTTAATCCTTAAGGGTTTGGTGAAATAAATATAATGCTTTTCTGTAAAATGAAAGCATTGGAGATGATCACTAGGGTCTCAGACTGTATAATTCTAAAAGTGCTCCTTGCTCCGAGTCATAGAATTATGCTACTATTGCTGTTTAGTTGCTTATGTGGACTGTTGATACTGTCAGTCATTGACACTGGTGTTGATAAGGAGAATCCACTGGAGCATGGTATGCCCCTGAAGGCTAAGCAGTTGCATATCTCATGAATGTTGACAGTAGCTTCATTGGAGTTCTTTTGGAGAGCCATAGACTTTTTCAGAAAGAGCTACCTGGAAGGATGCCCGGCAGGAAGCTGCTGTGACACAGAAACAATTCTGTGGTTATGTCACTCTATATTCAGCTAGTAATTTGCAACGTTCACTAAGCACAGATTTCAAGACTGTTTCACTAAATGATCTTTTCAAACGTACAAACCTATAATTTGACACATCATTTCTCTAAAGGTGTTTTCATCCTCTTCTATTCAAAAGACCATTAAGAAACATTTTGATCTTAAAGATTTTGAAATCCTGAATCAGAATTGGAGTGGAAGAAATGTTAAAGTTTCTTAGTCCAATCCTTTTATTTTATTTTGCGTATCAGGAGACTGAGACTCAGTGAGTTTCAGTAAGTTGGCTAAGGTCACTTTTGGAGTAGAAGCAGGACTTGAACACAGATCCCTGTAATTCGTAAGCACAGTGAGCATAGATAATGTTTATTTTTTCCTAGCACTAAGTTAATAATAGTTTACTTTTTTTTTTCCTGGAGTTACACTAAGACAAAAGGAAGCTTAGCCAAAAGTTAAATCAGATGTGTGAGCTTACAAGAAAATTTAACATTTTTGCCTTTGCTTCTGTCTTGTCATAGGAATCTGGGCAAAGAAGGCTGGGGATTCCACTGGTGTGTTAGTAGTTGCTTGGTAATATAGATACAGACTTCAACTTGTTTAGTAAACTACTTATATGAAAGGGACTCTCTCAGTTGACAGATAACTTGCCACAAAACAGGTCCAGGAAAACAAAATTCTTTTATTGTGTATGAAAAGTTATTGTATATTGGCTAGGGGAAACTGAAACTCTTAACCATTGTCTGCTGTTAAACTATGCTTTCAGTAATTATTTGTGGTTAGTGCTTTCTTTTCTCATTTAGATATTGGCATTGATATCTGTCCAGATTTGTTAGGCTGCGGTAATGTGGGTCATTCCATGTTTGTTTTTTTTTTTTTCTATTGATGAGGCTGATTATATTTGACTTTTTCAGTCCATTCTTAAGACAGAAGTACAGAATATAGATTAATTGTGAAGTGAAAGTTGGATGCTGGTTGAAGTGATGGACGCTGGTTGAAGTGATGAATGCCGGTTGAAGTGATGAACGCTGGTTGAAGTGTTTCCCTTTAGAAACACGTTACGGGCAAACTTGATCTATTACTGGCTTGTGAGTCGTTTGTGTTCATTCATTTTCTCCTGCCCCCCTCCCCACTCTCTCCCTCTTCCACTCAACACGTATGTATACTGCCAGAGTCACAGCTGAAGAATTTTCTTTCTCACAGTGACCTTTGGCCTGACACTGTTTTGGTTACTACCAGATCTCGTCTTTCAATCTGTCCCCACTTATGCAGACATAGGGCTGCGTTAAAGGTGATGTAGGTGGTGGGAGATAAGTGTGGAGAAGGAGATAGGAGTCAGAATTTGAAGTATTTTTGTATGCCATGCAATTAACTTGACTAAAATTGTGTTCAGGTTGTCACTTTCACAGTTACAGTGGCTATTTTATAGGCATACTAGCAGTTTCCAACTTAGTGGTTACATTATAAAAACTGAAAATTTGCTACTAGTAATAGGACTTAATTATTGAATATTGAATTGTGAAGTAGTTTATTATTATTTTTAATAGTTAATTGTAAAGGAGTTAATTATTGAATATTTATTGTAAAGCACAAAGTGAACTGCACAAAGGCAATTCACTTTGTGCTTTACATAAATTATCTTATTTAGTTATCTCCCACTTTGAGGGAGGCCCTGTTTGACCTGTTATAGAAATGAAGAGATTGAAGTTCAGGGAAGTGTAATAAACATGCCTAATGACAGTAAGTGGTAGAGCTGGGATTGGAACTAGATGGGTCTGACTTAAGAGTCTCAGTTCTTTTTTCATGCTACACTGCTCTGGGCCAGGCAGGAGTTGGATCTACAGTCGTCTATCAGTTTCTTTTAACACTGTCACTTTTGCTTAACACTGTGCCTGATTACATGATAGGTGCTTGGTAAATGTTGAATAAATGAATGGTCGAATCTTAACTGGAGTCAGAGAAGTTGTTCTTTGGATACCATGCCCTGAAATAACTTTTTTGCATAAAAACAGTGTTATAAAAGTTTTATAATTTATGATTAGATTCTTAGCTGGCCTGCCTGTAACATTTGCAAGGCCTGAGACAAGAATACCAAAGACTGCAAATCATAGTATAAATCAGGGTTTCTTGGACTTTGTTCTGTTGTTGTCTTGGATGGGATAATTTTTTGTTTGGGAGGTAGAGGGCTGTCCTGTGCATTGTAAGATGTTTAGCAGCATCTCTGTCCTCTGCCCACTAGAAGCTGGTGGTAAATCCTCCTGTTTTGGTGACAACCAAAAATGTCTCAAGACATTGCCAAATGTCCCCTAGGGGGCAAAATTGTCCCTGAGTTGAGAATCACTGGTCCAAATATTTAGATGTAGATCATGCTGTGCCCACAGCCTGGCCTGCTCTCCCAACCACGGTCCCTGGAGCCTTCTCCCCAGAGATTGCCTTCTCAACCTGGAGGCTCAAGGAGTCTGCCTGCCTGATCCAGTCAGCTGTGATCTGTTGGGTCAGGGCAGGGTCTTATCTGAACCTGGACTGGGCTTGGCCCTGTCAGGCTCCCTCAGGGAGCCAGGGTGGGCAGGTTCCCCTCTCCCCATATCTCACTTTTCC